GACTGTTATTTGAGAGGGTGGAGAAGAAGGGGGGCAAATTTTAGAAAGTATAAAATAAACAACTGCCCCCTTTCCTTCCACCCACTGCTTCCTCCAGCTCTGTATACCTCCTTGCACTTCTGTACTCTGTGTCTGAACTCATCTCAGTGAGATCCAGCAAGCTGTGTAAAAGTCCCTCTCAGGGGTCTTGAATCTCCCATGATTCTTTTCCACTGGCTCATTCTTCTACATCTTGCAGAGTGTCTTTGTCCCTCTAGGGTTGCATTAGCTTTACATGTTGGCTGCAGAAATGATTTGTCATAGGAACAGCAAATGGTGTGGGATTTCCTTTGGGCTGCCTGTGTTTTCTGGACTGCTGCAGCAGTCTGTCAGGTCTCTCACAGAGCTCCCTGTTAGAGCCCTGCCACTGCATTCTGTACTTGTGTCACTGTTCTGTTGCTGGGTCTGCATTTCTTTAAAGCTTTCCATGACTGAAAAGATCCAGGTCTTTCCTGGGATGTGCACCATTAAATGGTCTTTCTACAGCTTTATCTTTGCACAGATAACTTGTTTTCTTGCAAAGCAGTTTAGGAGAGGCATTTCCCAAATATAGTATGCATTCTTCAAGAAGTGAGGAAGAGGGGAGGATGGGGAAACTAAATGTTAGCTTCACAGTGAATTCTGGGCAGTAGAAGTCAAAAGTCAAATGGAGAAGTGTTACTTTGGAGTTGATTTTACTGGTGCAAAGAATACAGCTTTTATACCTGTGGAGCAGAGCACCCATTCCTAAGGATGATGAGTTGTTTTGTCATTCAAATGCAAACTGTTGCACATATGTATAAGACTGTGCTGACAAACACAGGTTTTGCTGAGAGAGCTTTTGTAATGTTTGCAATCTGGAGTTAAGGTCAGAACATCCAGAACAGCTGTGAGTCTGCTTTGCCTCCCAGCCTTTAGGTATTAAACTGTGCTTTCTTTCCCAGAATTTTCTGGTTAGTACCTAAATGAATCATGATATAAACATGTGTTTATGGGGAGATCGAACGTATAGTTTGTAGAGCTGATGGCAGCTATATGTTGTTTTGTTTATGCTCCCTGGTCTCTGGGTGTAAGCTGCAGGAGAAGGGAGGGATCTCCATTCTCACCAACCCTGTTCCTACCCTTTCTCTTGCTTTGGCTTAGCAGCTGTGTGACAGCTGTGCTCAGTGCTCTGGAAGAGCTGGCTGGTCCTGTGACACCTTGGATATTTATTTTGGTGTGGTTCTTCTTCTGATCACAGCTGATCTGAGTCATTGCATGGGTGTGTGATTGCTAGAAAGTAGGAACACATGTGGGAGGTTGGAGCATTAAAGAGTAATTGCCTCTTGTAGCAATAGTCTGCATTTAAGATAAAAGTCTGGGCCCTGTGAATCTGCACCTATAGCAAGGAGAGATATTATTTCTATTCTTGTTTGCTGGTGGCTTTTTTGTTTTGTGAGACTCAAACAAAGGTACTTGATTGCTGCATAGAACTTTACAGCTGCATGATATGGAATCCTTGAACCCTGTGGTAAAAGGTGGTGAGGCAATTTTATCTTGTGTTGTTTGTATCTTACTGGGTTTATGTTTATTTTAGTATAAGTATATAGGAGTATAAAAATTTTTATATCCAGAACATTTTTGTATCTCCAAGATTTTACATTTAGAATCTCTTCTTTATCTTGAATATTCAGTAGTGACTGTGGCCTGGGAGAACATCACTCAATGAGAACCCAGGACATAAACTCATTTGTTCATAGGGTTATGTATAATACATGTGGACTGAAGGCAGTGAGTTTCATGTAATTGTTATAGCTGGGATTGAGAACACTGCTTGTTGTTAAGGTTGCTTTATATCTGCAATTAGAATACTCTGGCATTTAAAACTATTAAAAGCTTTTCCAGATTTCAGACATTTGAGTACAAATGTTCTATTCATGAATGTCTGCCTCAGGCTAGATTTTCTTAAAATTATTTTTATGCTTTACCCAGAACAGTTTAGCTGCTGCAGGAGATACGGTTACAGGGAAATTATGTTTTAAAATATGTAAGAGCAACTTACTTTGACCTTTTATTTATTTGAATTTCCCAATTGAATTAAAATTTGAAATCTGATGTGTATTTTTTTAATCACCTGTCTGAATCTTCACATTTTTGTTCAAGTTCTAAACAACTAAAATTATTTAACATGCTCAGTGAAGACTTATAATAACATAGCAGGTAGAAGTTTTAAGGGATCTGCTTTCTCTGAGTTTGTACTCTCTAGTATTGACCCATTGTGCTTGCATCATCCTCTTAAGGAAAAAACCTCATTGAGCCCTGCTTTAATAAATTGAGGTCAGTGTTGTCCAGATAACAATTGAAGCCCAGGAATGAGACCTGAGAAACAAGGTCTTCCGTCTGATTTATTCTCAATAATCTGTTTGCTGACCTTAGCTGGTGTCCAAGAAGAAGTAATTCTGATTCAATTATGGAGTGTACAAGTAAATTTGGGTTAGACACTGAAAAAAGAGTAGGATTTGGTACCTTTGGAGCAGAGAGATCAGCTTATAAACATCTATAATGCAATAGGAGAAGGGATTCAAAACCTGCAGAGCAGTTGAAGACATTAGAAGTGAACGTGGGCCCATGGACAAGATGTCAGAGAGAACAGCAAGTACCCATAAGAGACAATGTGTGCGCATAGGAGGAGAAGGATATGAACTCAGTGAACTATTTGAGATGATGAGACTGGAGGATTAACAGTAGGACTGAAAATGAAGGATGCTCATGGTTTTGGGAAGCAAGATAGGGCTGAGATCATACTGGTGTGGTGAAGGAAAGAGTGTGTCTAACTGAAGTAAGCTTCCTCCTAAAGGCTCCCTCTGGTTTTGTCTGTCTTCTGCTGTTCTCAGATTATTGTGGAATTCTGTCAAAATGTCCCATTTTGTCTTAGATCAGGCCTGCTGTACAGAGCAACTGTCAGTTTTGTCCATCAGCTCACCTGGCAGAGGTTTGTACGTGGATATAAAAGTCCCTAAACTAATTTATATTGGAAAGCATTTACTGGTCAAAACATCTACAAAGTTACCCATGTACAGATTAAATGCACCACTTGCACATTTCTACCTTAGATACAGACTGTATCCTTAGACACTTGTCCTTGTTCATTTGTTCTTTAGGGAGCTTTGTGAAGTCTCTGTTCAACACTCCACTATTTATAATGCAACATTTGATGTCCAGCTGTGTATATAATATGTTTCCCTTTCTCTTGGGATCTGACTTGAGGCAGTGGTGACTGAACACTCTCAGCTTAACTAAAATCTCTGGGAGCTGTCCTTGTGTTTTCCATGTGAAGTGCCAAATATAAATATGAGTTACAGGAAGTACCAAGGTCAGTCTGTCTCAAGGCAGGTACCTCAAAATCAGTAAAGTACAGAGACTTCAAGGTGAGGCATTACTTCTGTCTGCAAAATGGGATCAGCCTATGCTCAGAAATGTGTTTAAAAATTTTTCATGCTTGGAAAGCTCAAATGCTACAGTGATTTTCTTTCTGGAAATCTTAAGCATCCTAAGGCATTGTTTTGAATGTTTTTGTTCAGAAAGCATGGGGTAAAAACTGAGAACTTGAGAGGAGAGACCCCAGACAGGGGTTGTTGTGCTTTGTGCCACCTGAAAGTTAAAGCTTTCAGTGAAAGCAGATTGTAATCAGTGAGGGACTAAACGTTTCTGTGCACATGTAAGGAAATTTGTTAAAAGGAAGATGTAGGGCTGCGAATGAGTGGATGTAAACTGGATTTAAATTTTCTAAGTCTTGCTTTAGTTTATCTAGTTTTTAACTGATCTGATGATACTGATCCAGCTAATTATCAGGGGGATATAGATACATCTGTGCTGGTTTAAAAGTAAATCAGCAGGCGAAATGAACCCAGCTCGAGAGATTACAAGTCAGACTTAGAATTTACTAAGAAGATCACAGTAAATACAGTGATACAGAGAAAACTGGTTTTAACCCCCAAAGACAGATGTATAACCCAGCACCCTGGGGCAGGAACAGAACAGTGTTTGTTAGCCCCTGTACTGAACACAACATGGCCCCCCTGCGTTGCAAAGTAAAAGGAAAGGAACACCTGTTGGTCCAGATGACAGTGCACCTTCAGCTTCATTTTAAACAAAGCATGCCTAAACTGCATTAAGAACAAAATTTTTATTTCTAAATCAATTTCTTACAACTTTAGAAAGGTATTAGGCTTCATTCAAAAAAAAACTTTACCAGAAAGTTGCAGCTTATGAGATTTGTCAGTATCAGAGCACAAAGCAAAATATAGAAGAAATATAGAGTATCTTTCTCTTATTCTTAGCTTCTCAGTACTGAAGTCAGAGAAATAGGGCACTGACCTCTTCTTCCTCATTTCTATCCTACTATATATAAAAAAATCCATTATAACTATTGAGAGAGATTAGGAACATCCTCAAATAGCTATCATGTTTTTCTGGTGTGGGGTTTTTTTTTGGGGGGGGGGGAGGGGTTTTTTTTCCTTTGGCCACATCTTTTTTCATTTTTTTTCTAATATGACTAACTTTGGATGTGGAAGTTGTCTGTAGCAGTCAGTCATAGCTTCTTTCAGTGGGAATTTTAGTATTTGAGTGCATGGTTCTTTGCACTTGAGGAACAATCCTGTCCACTTACATTTCAGGAAAGTGTTTTTTGTGTGTTTTTTGTGTTGTTGTTGTTTTGGTTTTGTTTGTTTGTTTGTTTTGTTTTGTTTTCTAAAAGAGTGCTTTTTGAGGACTACAACAAAGACTCTGGATTAATTGGTAAAAATCAGTGTGACCTGACAACTCTTGTGGCTCACAAGTGTGTGACCTGGATCCATATTCCACAAAGCATAGCCAGTCTATCAGTGCTCCACTCTACTTCCTTGTGAATGTTATTTCTGGAGTTTAGAAAACTGACATACCCTTTTCTGTTTCTTCATATTTTAAATGTTGTTGATTTTTTTTTAAATGTGTTTTGTTTCCAGAGAGACTGCAGAAGGAGGAAGAGTGATTGTAGAAATTGATGACAAAGTGGCAAAAGTCAGAAATGTAAAGGTATGCTGTTTGTCTTCTCTTTCTCATGTAAGGATCCTGATATCCTGATACTTTTTTATGTTTGCTTGGCTTCTGGGTGATTCTAATAGAAATATTAATGGAGAATTTTAAGCTGGCACAGCTCTAGAACAATTGCAGCAGAAGTATGTGGGAGGACTATTTTGCTTTTGGGGTTGATGTACAGGTTTGAGAGGGTTTTCTGACAAGGGATGTAACGTGTTGCTTGCATTTTATATTTGTCAAAGCTTCTGTAATCTGGCTGCATGCCATCATTCAAAGCTGTTAGTAAATTGTTTATGATTTTGTGCTCATCTTACTAACATCTGCATAATTTCTTTCGCTATGTTTCTCCTCCTCTCATGTTTGCCCTCAGAGTGCAACTGATTTGCATGAAATGAAGCAAAATGTCTTCAGCTACACTTCAGGCCTCGATGAAAGACCAAGAGCTGTTAGAATAAACTGAATGTAGTCATCATCCTTCATGAGAGTTCTGGAGCCAGTGTGCTAGCCTTCTGCTTTAGGCTCTTGAACTACTTAAAACTGCCACGGTCCTTCACTAAATTAATAGAACAGCAGCAAAGCAATTCTGTGTTGTCAAAAATGTTTCTGCTTGAAACTAAAATAAATGAACTGTGAGATTATTGTGAGGATCCCAGAAGATGGATGACTTTTTTATGTCTTGTCTCCTTTTTCTTTATATCTGCAAGCAATCCACTTATTCCAGATTGCTGGTTCAGGAGAAATAATACACTCAGTTTAGAAGAGAAACCTTGGCAGAAATTGAATGAAAGGATTTGAACTATTTACCTTTTTCCATTATAATTATTGTTGTATTGATTACAAGTGCTTCTTATCAAAGAAATAAGAGGGAAAAATATTAGGGGTATGAGAGATCTTGTGGAAGTCAAGTGTTATTTTCTGTATCTTCTCTTAGAGGCTGTGTTTACAGAGCCTGACACTCACTACTTTCTGGAATATTTTTCCCCAGTTCCTTACACATATGACAGAGCTCTTAAAGAGACACATATCCTCTGGGAGTGACACTGTCTCTTCTGGCACTTAGTCAGGGAACGCTTTGGTCTCCACTATAGGGCTATGAGGTCTGGGGCCTGAGAGGCTGCCTGTCCCTCTGGTTGAGCCCACCCCGGCAGGTCGTGGCCCTGCAGCTGCCTGACTGATTCCAGATGGTCCTTGTTAGACCCAGAGCTTTCTGTGTTTTATTTGTTTAAAGAGGAGCTGTGACCTGCCCTGGCATACAGGGGAACCCTCAGCAGCAGGGCAGAAGGATTGTTCAGAGATACAGGGGCTGGCTTGTCCATGTCGCATCTCTTGTTGTTTTGTAATTGGTGAGGAGTTTGCTTTATGCATAAGCTAAATTTAAACAGCATTTGATGAATCCAAGGCAGAATATGAATTAATATTTACACGTTAATATTCACACTGTGATGTCCAGGGTAGGTGTGCTTTGTAGTTCAGAACAAACACCCTCTCAGTAGAAGAAATAATCAGCTCTGTGACCAGGGGCTGCTTCTCCTGAGGTGGAGAAGTGGTAGAGTATTTTTGTTTCGTTTTTTGCACATTGCTGTAGGAATGACAGTGCTCTAAACTGTCTTCTGCTTATTGCTGCAGAAAACCTAAGAAAAGGTTATTACAAAAGGTAATAGCATAAAATTCTCTGAATTGTGACATATTGAAAATGTCGTAATAGATGATCTGAAGTGCTCATTAAGGCATTAATTCTGACTAAAGGAAACCTTAGTTGTGTTTAATTCAATGTGACAACTTTAGAGTCATGCAGGGTTTAAAATAAGTAGAAAACCTTTACTTCAAAGATAATTTAAAACTATTTCTGTCCTCTTCTGCTTTGCTCTTTCTTGGTTTAAAAAAACACAAGCCTGTCAAATGGGCCTGTAAACTCATTTTCCTTATAAGCCTCACGGCTGGTGGCTGTGTTTACAGTACCCTGTATCCAGTAATCTGTCAGACAAACATTGTCACCCCTAGTTTTTGGGGCTCTGTGTTGAGCGTTTTGGCTACCAAGTTATAACAAACCTTTTTTTTCTACTTACACTGTTGCAATAGTAGATTATATTACAGGTTATATGTTACCAATTGGGTCAAAATTACCTGGGAATGTTGTTCATTTTGTGTAACGTTTTGACTCATTACTCTCCTACTTTGGTGAGTAGATCAACAGTGTATAGTTCCTTGGTCATAAGCTTATCTGTTTTATTATGGATCACTTGGTCAAGATTTTACAGAAGGACTTATACAATTCCCTTAATTTCAAACATGATTTCTAATTGTTGTGCTAGAAAGGCTTTACTGTCATTGTTACTAACCCATAAAGGTTAGGTTTGGACTGTGCAGTCCCAGTGGCAGAAGTATTAGATTGCTACCATGACAAAGCAAAGGGGAAATGGGGGAAGAGACCTGCATTTCCAACTATGCAGTGAGAAAATCATTTTTGTCTTCTCATTTCTGTGATGCAGTTCTCAGTGAAACAGGAGAATGATGAAGAAATACCCCAAGGGTTAAAACTTTCCTGCTAATATGTAGAATTTATCAAGATTAGCTAAATTATGTTTATTGTATACATCATGGAGAACCTTAGCTGCAGTAAATGAACCCTTCAGTAAAAATGCTTCAGCAGGTCTGTCATGGATGTCTGTGTTCACTCTAAGCATCAAAGAAAATTGAATGGAGAAGTTAAACTATTTGCCATTCCTTTTACACAATACAGATCCTAGATAAACTTCCTACTGATTTGAAATATGCTTTTTGGCCAGCATGTTCAGAGTGAATTGGTCTTTCTGTCTTTTTCCTTTTATTGTCAGGTTGACAGTAGACTTGATAGCAGTTGGGACTCAAGAGAAAAAACTGTGGCCTTCAGCTTTGATTACTGCTACTGGTCAGTTGATCCTGAAGATCCAAAGTATGCATCTCAGGAAATGGTGAGTGATGCTGTTCCTCACACCTGGGTTCCCATCCTACTTTGACCTTTGTAATCACATACACAAGAAGAGATTGAGATGTAGGATACATGAAATTTCAAGTTCTATTCCTTAAGTAGGTACAGTAGGAATCCAATATCCTTATTTGTCAACTAATGCACACTTTCTGTTAGATACGTTAAATTTGGTAGTGATCGTTAATGGTGATGATCTGAGGACTCTTGCTTAGAAATGAGACTTTTTTCAGGGGCAGGAATCAGGACTTGGGGGAGAAAGCTCTGAAGGAAAGCAAGAGTGTTGAGGTGATTGTTTTGAGAGGATCAACAGTGAAGTAACCACATCTTTAATGGTTGTAAATTTTATTTGTAGTATATTGTTCAGAGCTCTTTTCCTTGACAAAGCATCAGAAATCTTATAATTAGTGGAGACTTATCCTAGCTAGAAGATCCAATGTTTGATTGATTAAAAGAAGATTGAAGGATTTGATATTAAAATAGGATGAGATCCCAACTCTTTGTTAATAAACAAGGAATTATTAAATATATAAACAAATACACTACACAACAAAGCTATCCAAATCTTTCATTATGCATGCATATGATTACATATTTCAGCATTAAAATCAGTTTTTAGTGCTGTTTTGTTTTCAGACTTGTATAGTTTCATTTTCATCTGTTGTCAGTACAACTGTTCCTGAAATTGTGACCTGTATAATTGTTGCTTTTCACAGAAATTATCACTTAAGACTGAGTTAGTTCTGTAAAATTTGTGTTTCTGGTAGTGATGAGCACGGGATTGTTTTACTTTTAGAAGTCAATGTTTGAAAAAAACCGTCAAATTTTGCAATTTCCAGGACTATAGATTAAATTCTTGTCTGTGCTTCATTTCCTTTTTGGTACAGTATTGTGGATGATGTTTTGGGAACTTGGAAAGTGTATTTAGTGTTTAGAAAAGAAAATTGTCTTTCTAAAGTACTCAGCACCAGAAAAACTTTAGGGATTACAAATAACAAATCTTTAAATTTTTAACTGTTAGTGCTCCCACCAACCCTCTTATATTGTCTTACTTGTTTATTTTGATTTTGTGTTATTTGTGAGTTTCTCTCATAATACACTTAAAAGCTTCTTAAAACTGTTGCAAATACAGTTGGCTTTCTAGATGAAATGGTTTAGTATGAAACGCTGATAAATACAGTCTGCCAAGTCAGTTTTGTCTCAGTATGAACATTTATCAGAACTGCCAAATGGAAAGTATAAATATTGGCTACAAATCATAAACTTTTGGTTTTGTTGTTATTAAATACAAGTGGGACTGAAAAAGAATGTAAAGTGCAATATAAACACTGCAGCTTCATTTCTGGGATCAAGTAGGTATTTCAGACGCTGTGGAGAGCCTCGTTTTATCATGCAATCCATTTTTATCCAATAAAGATGCTGAGGGGAAAATATGAACTCCTGGGCCATAAGAAATTAAGAAGTGAGCAGTAGTTTCCTTACTCTTACGCCTGATGCTGACTGAAAGGACACCCAGGGCTGCTCCATGTAACTGTTGAAACTTAGACAGAAGACTTTCATGAGTTTAGAGAAGTTTAAAAGATGGACTGGTGCTTTGGAAGGCCTGGAGTCATGAGCTACTTTCTTGGGCTTTTTGCAGTCTTTTACAATCTTTGTGATTGTAGAACCAGTAAAACATACTTTATGTGTTCCTGAGAAGAGGCTGTGGAGATACTGCAGTCTTACCAGGCTTTTGTGCATTTCTCTGCTCTCTTACACTGTATGAACAAAGTTTATTGTACTAATTCCATGTTTTGAATCATCAGTTCAGTGATGAGCTTGAACTTCCTAAGCTTCCTTAAAAACTTCAACAATGATGTTATCAGTAGCCAAAGGAGGTTCAGTGCTACTGTCATTCAGTAAAAGCTTTCTTTCATGAGCTGACCTTGGACCACTTTTTCCTTGAAGAAGTCCTGCCAACTGCTGTCGTATGTTACTGGTGTATTGGTTGAGGATGAAAAGTAGATAGAAGTACCTGTCTTCAGGTTCATTTTTGTAGAATCCTGTCTTTTAGTAAACTGTCTCTTTTTGTTCTCTGGATGGATGTATAAAAATGAAGTCCTTACAGTTTCTTCAGTTGTTAAGGATTCTGTGACAATATAACAAGAGTGGGAGGGCTGGAAATGGTAGTGTTTAAGTGAAATTAGAATTTTTAAGATACAAATCTAGCTCTCTGAATACTTCTTGTAGTTCTTTCCAGATGTTAACATTGTATGCTTGAGGTTCCTGTCTCCTGTATTTCAGAGATGATTACACACAGTACATTTTATTCCCTATATATTTTGATCATATACTTCAAAGGTACTTGTAAGTACTTTCAAATGTTTAGATTTATTGTTCTGTTTATGAAGACGGTGCTTTCTCTGCCACTTGTACTTTCCATGTATTTTCCAAAATGAGAATACATGTAGCTCACCTTTTGTGTTCCTCCTAATAAATTCATGTTAGTATTTCTAATTAAAAAAAAAAAAAGCACATAAGGTATTTTTTCACTTTAATTTGGGGAGAGCAAATCTTGCAATGCAGTAAACTGAAAAGGAAAGGAACCAATTTATTAAAATCTGCAATTCCCATGTGACAAATTATATACCTTTACTTTTTTAATAGAACTGAAATCAGAAGTGCTTTCCCCCTTAAAAAAGCTGGGGCAAACAATCAAATATATGAATTATTTTTAAGTATTATTGTCTACATATTTTGGGGGGCTGAATTTAAAAAGTAATTCTTGTATCATGATGTACACAAGCTTTCTTGATTGGCATCACAGAAGTAATGTAAGCAACCTTGTGTCTCTGAATAGAGGAAAGGTTGCTAAATTAAAAACAAAGCTTTGACTACTGACAGAAGAATACATCACTGTTGATGTGGGGGAAATAGGCTTCTAGGCAGATATAATCTGCTGGATAGTGTTTGGTTTTGGAAGATGGCTTCAGGTACAAGTGGATAGTTTACTGTTATTTATGATTATTCTCTCATTGGAAACATTTGAGGAATTACATATGAGCCAGAGTTTCATTTTCTGTATTTCTTGCATAACTGTGGTGAAATATGAAGAAACACAGTGTTTCCAATGATCATCCAGTGATTTATAACCTTCGTTTAGAAGTCAAGTATAAGTGAACTGAATTCTTAGTTTGCCTTTAGAAGTTGTGTTCATTTTCCAAATAAGCTGAATTTTACAATGTGACCTCTGTTTTTTGGGTGGTCAGTCTGAGATCCTTGGGCCTGTTGCTTTTGTTTTCTCACTGGGCAGTTGAATACTTTGTGTTGATACCGAACTGAGGTTTTCATCTGCTTTCACAAGTGTGCAGTTCTTTCCAAAGGAGAGTCTACCTTCTCCTTTTGAAGAAAATTAGACAATTCTTTTTTTCCTGAGTGGGTTTGTGAATGCATAAACAGAGTAGAGAAATCAAGAAATAGCGTAAGAGAAGAGTAATAGGCTCAATCAACTGGACCTACCAGCTACTGCAGGAAGAAAGAAAGGAAACAGATCTGCTAAATCCTTCAAAGTAGAGAGGGATGAGCCAGGCACCAGAGTTAAATGGCTGAGAGAAAGAAGCTGAGTAACAAAAAATTGTGTAGGACCAGAGAAAGGTGATGTTCCTTTTCCTGCCATTTTTGAGACAGACTGTTGATTTTCTCTGTGCAAGGTTGCTGCAGAATTAGTTCAGTCTCACAGAGGGAAAATGCTGATTGTCTGCACCTGGGCTTTACTGCTTGTAAACAATGAAATAGTCCCCATGTCTCTCTGAATTCTAAAAAACTAAAGGTTTTTGGGGGAGTGAATTCGATATGATACAAAACCTTTTTTAGTAAAGAGGGGCATTTTTTATGAAATCAATTATTGCCTCCCTCTCCTCCGCCCCCTTCCTCCACAGATGTCTTCAGGAAGCTGTGTGTAATTCAGGATTGTTTTTCAAAGACAATGTTGGAAATCTGTCCCTCTTTGGCCGTTGTATAACTATGGGATGGGACTATCCTTTACTAGAGGTTCATGACGTATTTCCGATTTACAGTAAAAATGCTGTGTGATAATGGTGTTATAATCACATTTATGGTTGTGATTTTTATTCTTACAGGAAAAATTCAGTCTTTGTGATTTATTCTGCTGGTTGAATGTGGAAGTTTATATGTACGTGCTGGGAGACATTTATAGTTGTCCCAGAAATAAACATGTAAATTTAAACTTAAATAAGGTTTTGTCTGGTGTAGAGCAGTCTGTTTCAATTCTTTTGAGTTTCCTTTGTAAAACCTAAAATAGCTCTTAATGGATCATTCCCCAGCTCTGGTTTAGCTCCATGAAGCAAAAGAGAATGTCTAAAACAGTTGCAAAACTTATGTAAATGCGCATTTAAATCCCACTGACAAAAAAAAAAATGTTTCAACTTGATCTAATGCAACCACAGTTAAACAAATTATTAAGGATATTTTGCACAAGAGTATTCTTAGGGCTACAGGAACAAATGCAAGCATTAAGTATTCTTGTAGCTGGTTGCTATAGCTTCAGTCCTCAGCTTCCCTCCAGCCATCCTTCCCATCCGGTTATTGTGCACACACAGTAACTGCGGTGGGCAGACTGACCCACAGGATGTACAGGCAGGTATTTACACACAGCAGTTGCCATAGATAGCTGATGTGTGGCAGTCTGTTCCTTTTGATAAGAGCGATACGTTCCATGACTAATAGGCTTTGAATGGTAGAGAGGGTGAAATCCAGAATAGTGTTTAATTTCCCAAACTGCACTGATATCAGTGGGAACCAAATCTCCAACTGGTTTTTCTTGAAACACTTTTTGTACATCTCAAGCTTAGCTTTTTGTACCCCAGTGCATCAGTTAAATGGAGATGATAATGTTTATTAAGGAAAACACAATTTAGACTTTAAAATTTTTACCTCAGGCTTTCTAAAGAATTAAATAGTACTCATTTTGATCTAGGAATGTCACAC